ACGCCACGTAAGGACGTCACCCAAGGGATAAGGGACGCGCAAACTTGTCACGAAGTTGAAGATGAGTATGTAATAACTAAATCAAAGGCTCCGCTATGAAAGTGATTTTTCCGTAAAAGCGGATAAAAGCAGCATATTTCGTATTAATTTTTCGCAGTGAAAGCATGAACAGCAATGCTTCAGCCCAGGAAGCAGTTAGATTCATGGCAGATCTCGGTAGAAGCTCGCCAATGTCAAGACAGTGAGATGATAGGTACTAATAAGTTGGTAGAAATGGAATCAAACCTGATGGACAACCTGAAGTCTGGTGTGGCGCACGCGTGGCCTTCAAGCCACATGGACCAGGGAGCTGTCGGGGTAGGTAGCTCAGCCCCGCTACTTGGGTTCGCCCGCCGCTCGTCGTTCGTCATCAGAGCGAGCCAGAGGTAAAAGCGAAGCTGGAAGGAAGCCTGTTCTGTTTAAACACCTGCTACCTACAAACTCTCTTCACGAGCCTTAGCACTTTACTTTATTTATTAGGTAGGCACCTACTTACCTAGGTTGTTCGTTTTGTTCTTCACACTCGACCCATTCACTCACTATATTCTCGTCCTCAAGACAACGCCAAACGCCTACGACGCTTTCTAGAGTTAGGTACCTTAATCGAGCAAAACCACAAGTGACGTGCCTGTGTGGAGAGTGCGACCGCCGACGACGTAACCCAGGGTCTTGGTACGGCACCTTCATCTCGCATCTCGCATCTCGCATCGTTATCACCAACCTTCTTCCACCACCTCTAAACAGCAACATCGTCGCATTTCGTCGAGACTTTTCTTCTATATACGGTGGATATTCGCATCACATACCCAAGGCTCTCAGCCGTCGATTTCATCCCGCGCCTCTCTCGCATTCACTACATCCCCGCCAATAACTGATACCCCGAGTCAAATCACCAACCACCATGTTCCGAGCCTCAGCAGCAGGCCCTTATGATGAGGTTGTCAGTATGTAGCACCCTCCGCTTTATTTATTCGGTTCGGACAAGAGAACCCCAATCACTTGCTCTCGTCTCGACTCGTGCTTTCTTGCGACTAACACCAGTATAGCCAAGGCCACCGACGAGAACCTCACGTCTGAGGATTGGGGCGCCATTATCGAGGTCTGCGACAAAGTAGGCAACGACCCAAATGGCCCCAAGGAGGCTGTTCAAAGCATCATCAGGCGCCTTGCCCATCGCAACGCCAATGTCCAGCTCTACACTCTTGAGGCATGTTGAATACCACGCCGTCATGCGAAGCCTCGTTTTACTGACTCAATCAGCTTGCGCATGCGCTCGCCCAAAACTGTGGGAAGAACATGCACCGCGAACTTTCCAGCCGTGCCTTTACAGATGCCCTCCTCCGTCTTACCAACGACCGTAATACCCACACACAAGTCAAGTCTAAAATCATCGAGCACATGAAGAGCTGGTCCGAGATGTTCAGCAGCGATCCCGAGTTGGGCATCATGAGCGACGCCTATAACCGTGCCACACGAAGCAACCCAAACATCCAGCCCCCAAGTGCTCCTCAGAAGCAGGGCCTTACCGAGCTCGATCGCCAGAAGGAAGAGGATGAGTTGCAGATGGCTCTCAAGTTGAGTCTGCAAGAGGAGGAGCGCAAGAAGACTGCTGCAACCAGTCCAGGCGCACAAGCCGGTCCTAGTGGCCAGACAGAGAGCCCTGCCCCGGCTGCGCCAGCTGGAACTACAGCGGCCACGGTGAGCCGCGTACGTGCGCTCTTCGACTTTGCTCCTTCTGAGCCCGGAGAGCTGGAATTCAAGAAAGGTGACGTGATTGCTGTTCTCGAGAGTGTTTACAAGGACTGGTGGCGAGGCTCTCTCAGGGGCAAGACTGGCATCTTCCCACTCAACTATGTCGAAAAGCTTACCGATCCCACACCGGATGAGTTACAACGCGAGGCTCAGATGGAGGCTGAGGTGTTCGCCGAGATCAAGAACGTTGAGAAGCTCCTCACGTTATTGAGCACTTCCAACACAGCGCCCCGAGAGGAAGATAATGAGGAGATTTCCGTAAGCACCCAGTATGATGGGAAATATCCTCGGTATGCTAACAGGTCCGGCAGAAGCTTTACCACCAGACTCTTGCGATTCGACCCAAGCTTATCAAGCTGATCGAGAAGTACTCTCAGAAGAAGGGTACGCATTGGACGCCCCCAGGCTTGGATATGAAACTAACATACATCTCTCAGATGACTTTACACAGCTGAATGAAAAGTTCATCAAAGCCAGACGGGACTACGAGGCTCTTTTGGAGTCTTCCATGGCCCATCCTCCTCAGCACAACTACCAGCAATACGCAATGCGACCGGGTCCCAGCCAGGGCTATCCTCAAGCTGGCGGATATCCTCCACAGGGAGCAGCTCCTCAGGACCCCTCAAGATACTATACTCCTGGCCCACAAGGTATGATAGCCCTTTGTCCTTGCAGTGGAAGAACCTCCTTCTGACTTTTAACAGAGCAACCTCCTTATCAAGCATCGTCTCCCCCCCCTAACTTCCAGAACCAACCCCAAGGTCAACCGGCACCTTTCTATGTAGCAGGAGCTGAAGTGCCCGCTGGCTCACAACCCTACCCTCCCCGGAACGAGTCTCCTTCCAATGGTAAACAACCGGCCCCTATCAATACCTCGACACCGGGCCCGAACTTCAACCCCTACAACCAATCTCAGAACAACAACCCTTATACGCAAGCGCCGACGGGAGGACGACCTGGTAGCACATACGGAGCCCAAGAGTTGGCTACGTCTGTCTACGACTCCCCTATAGCCACCAACAACCCACACCAACCGACCTCGGCTGCCACATTCTCGAGCTCGGTGTATTCTCCTGAAGAGCCCAACGATAACGCCAGCGCACCACCCCCTGGTCCTTATGCAACGCATCAGCAGCAGCCTCAACAATACCAGAGCTACAATCCTTCTTCCCAAGTCCCTCCCATGCCCACAGGGTCAGCTCCCCCTCCTCCCCAGAGTGTCATGACACCTCCCCCTCTGAACCCTGGGAATGCCGGCGGATATGATGCTCGTCATGGCCTGCCCAGCCAAGGTGGTACTGGTGGTCAGGCTCAGTACAAGCCTTATGTGCCACCCGGCGATGGTCCTTCGGCTCCTGCACCCGACAGTTACTATCAAAGCGGGGGAGTTTACTAAGGGACTTGATGACTTGGAGGATAGTCGACTGTTGCTATAGCTTCAATACATTCCTGACGCGTGCATACTTAACGCTGTGAGTTTTTGTTTTAGTGGTCAAGCTTTTCGCTTGGTTTGACTTTTTTGAAGTTTCTGATTTTATACTTACCAGTATGATTTGCCATGCCTACTTGATACGAATTGTCTCATGGTCGCTAGTTGGACAAGTTTGCGTATTGTCATGCTGTAGATGATAAGGCTGGACTAGGGGGTTACGTGGACAATAGAAGACCAAGTCAAAGCAAGCCTCGAATTAATTGAATGTCTCCCACTCTGTACTGTAGCTCGTGATACTAATTCTATGCTTTTTTCTGGTTGTATTCAAATATTTCGGATCGGATGATATATCCAAATTTGTTAATAGTCTCCCTCTCGCGAGCCAGTAATGGACTCGTTTCGTTTCACAACCTGAAACCTCGACCGTCTCGCCCCTGTAGCACCCTATTTTTTGCTGTCTCCCACTCGGTTTTCCCGTCCGTCTCCCTTTTTCCCTCCTCTTTTGTTCTTCCCATCAACACATTAAAATATACATATTAATTCTTTGCACTACGCGTTTCTTTCTCTTCTCCCCTGTCTAGTTAATTTCTTGTCGTTTCAGCTGGTTCTGTAACTTCAGGTGCCACTCTCTTCTCATCGCTCAATATCACGCCACTATATACACATCCATATCCATATCCATATCCATATCCATATCCATATCCATATCCATATCCATATCCATCAGCAACATGAAGACTACCGTCTTTGTCACGCTTCTCTCTGCGGCTGCTTCGCTCGTCAGCGCCGGCATCGTCGTCACGCCTGTTTTCTTTAACCAGATCGTTGAGAAGCTCTCTGGCGACTGTCCTTTTGGCGTAGTTACTCCTCAAGGTTGCGCGTAAGTTTGACCTTTAGATGGGTTGAATAGTTGGAGTCATACTTGCTAATATTTCGATAGTCCTCAGCGCGGTTAGGGACTGAGCTCTTTAGCGGGCGGTTGATTCAGTCATAGTGATTTGGTTTTGGTGTTTTCAGACAGTTCTAAAGGCTCTTCTATTTGTATCTGTTAAAGGCTTGAGCAGACAAGAAGTTCATAATTTTTAAGCGTGTCCATCCTACTTGGGTAGTATTAAAGATCATTGAATCCAAACCTGAACTGGATAAGTCACTTACCAGGTTAAATCTTCTTTTCTGCGGGCATGTCTTAACCCTCCATGTCATATCAAAGAATTTACTTACTTGACGTCTTGATCAATTTTATAGACTCAGTCTCCGAGTGTCCGCTAATCGGTCCCCGTCCTTATATACGGTTCGTAACATCGCCCCCCTCTGGAGAAAGAAAATTGCTAGAAAGTCTATGCGTGCGAAGCCACTTTAGCCTCATCTGGATGGTATTCATTAATGGCCTGAACCGCGACCTCGTTGGCTTCTGTCGAGGATTTACGGAAGCTCTTATCCTGGAGACGTTTCGCAGCATTGTACGTTAAGAACTTTTTGATATCGGGAACCAAGCAAGCGGCAACATGCATAATTGTTAGACCAAGCCAAAAGCTCGGGGAGCCCCTTACTATAGCAAGGTCTTCCTATGGTATATGACTGATAAATGATAATCAGGCATCTTCCTGGCCAATTCGTTGCCAGGAATAGAGACATACAAAGCCTGAGCAATGGCACCACCGAGGGCACGAATCGATCCAAGAATGCCAGATGCTATGCCGATATCTTGGGGTTCCCATAGTAGAGTTACACAGGGTGAGTCCAACATTCTCAATGTATCCAACACCAGTGCATGCATTCAACCTGAATGCGATTGTATTTGCCCACCGGTCAAGGGATAGGGAACACATCGACGTGATGAAAGCCACGCAAGAGCAGCAACGCACATGCACTGGATCTTGAGGCGAGGAACATAGGCAATAGCGAGACCCGACATAGCTTGGCCCAGAACAACTCCACCACCAATCACGCCGCTTTGCCAGCCAACTTTGATAGAATCTGCGGTGTACAGCGTGCTGATAATTGTAGGCCAGAGAACTGTCAAGGAGTAGTAGACCATTGAAGCAACAGTCGCACAGGTGACTACTGCGACAAGCCCAGTGTTGTTAAAAACACCAGACAGAACCAGGGGTTTTACAGAACAGGAAAAAGCCTCTTTCTACAGTATCAGCGGACTCTGAAGGGAAGTTTCAAATCAAGGAACCATACCATATACAAAGAACCCGGCAAGGGTTATTATACCAATGATTAATGTGCACAAAACCTCAGCACTCTTCCAAGGATATGTCGTGTCGCCCCAAGAAAGGCCAACGAGGAAGAGAATGCATCCAGTGTGAAGAGAGGCATGCCAATCCAATCAAGCACCTTTGTTTGCTGTATTCTCGTCTTTCCCACAGCTGAGCAAAGGTTGGTGGGCGGTAGAGGAACTGATATAGAGCCAGAGTGATTGCACTCAGAATGATGCCCAGATAGTAACTGCAGCGGCAGCCTTCATGTAAGTTATTAAAGCACTGTGGCAATCCACGTTGGTAAACTCGAAAAAGCATACACTTCTTGCAGTACCATAGAAAAGCACTGTCCGAGATAGAGGTAAATGCAAGGTGAAGACACATACAGAGTATTTCAGGGGAGCATCCATCCTAAGTATACGCAAGTACTTGCTAGACACTGACTGCCCTTAGGTATGGATCAAAGTCAGTACCCCTCTCACTCTCAGTCTGGATATCAGAGGTGCAGCAAGAGTACCAATGAACTGAGGACTCCGATAGTAGCCATTAGGCATTCGGTCGAGCTCATCGCCCAAGGCATATTTGTCAACATACTCGACAGTACCATCAGCCATGATGATCTCCTCAGCGTTGACAGTCGGCTGGGGGCTGCCTGATCCATCTCCACTATCTTCAGGGAAGAACATCTCGAATTCCCGCTCCTTTCCTATACAGCCATCGACGCCAATAGGCTGAGATTTGACATGGTGTTTATTTTCGAAACCCTCGACAGTCGAATTCCGCTAAAACGTATCAAATGAAGTCTGCTCTGTGCTCTGCGGTGTTGAGGGTAGAGGTAGTCGATGTTTTCTATTGTGAGTACAACATTATCGGCACATAAGTCGACGGCAGAAGCCAAGCTATAGTATAAATGACTGGCAGACCCCTATGATCGATCCCCAGCTAGGACCTTTATCCATGGTCCTATGCTCCCACGAGTCGTGCCGGACGTCAGACTGAGCGATCTAGGCTAGGGATGAACCGTGGCCCCAGGCGAGACGAGGTAAGGCTTCGAGTTTATTTCGCTGAGGCCGTTAGATGATCCAGGCCTGCGTGGGCGGGGAGGGCGGATAAGTTATACTTTCTTCTAGAACAGGGTTCTTTTTGTGAGGACAAGGTCAGCCGCATCGAAACTCAACTGCTTTCAGAGGCCTTAGACTGGTCTGCAAAGCCTCCGTAGAGAAAGGCCGTGAACAGTGCTGGATTTCTGTCGCTGATGCGTGTAGGGTGCTCCCTAATTGCGGTATGGAAATTCAGGTTCACCGTGGGCAAATATCTGGCGGGAGAATGCGTGTCTTACTAATGGTTTTGAGAAGGCAGTTACGTTGCAGTGTTGACGGATAAAGTACTAATCACTGGAATGGAAATGGCAAGTCAGACCTCAAGTTATACTAGGTAAGTGCTATCTGCCTCTACCGTAGGTAGGCAACCTCTGGAGTTATTGGAAGGAAGCAACCCCGCTGGTTCTGAAGGAGACTTCCAGCAACAATACCTATGCCCTGAATCAATGACAGATGTACGTAGTACCTTAGTATGTTGTCAAGTCATTGGTTTTGTTAGGTACTCTCTTACCCATTGCATCTTTAGGGTAATGTGTTGATATGTGATAATTCTATGTCCCAAGTGCTCATGGTTGCACAAGAGTTCGGCGGCGATTCGCATTCTCCGAGACCTGTATCTTTCCTCGAAGGAAGCTACCAGGCCATATGGATTTTCGTACGGAGATTCTCTCTATATGTATTTAATGCTAATTTTCTTTCTATTCACCAGGTATGAACGCTCGCAGGCAAAGACTGTCTTATGTACAGGGTAGCTAACAAACATATATGTCGTGTAAATCATAAAAAAAGCCAGCTTGTTGACAAACAAAAACATACAGGAAAAGTTTACATAGACTAACTCATATAAGGTCGTCATTTACAGTGGCTCAGATGCAGACACAGTGTGTGAGAGCAGGCCCCCGAGAGTGTCAGTTGCCCACAGAATGAGTTTCTATGCTTGGTGGCCGCTACATCTATATGCATAAGAATATCATCTGTGCCACTTCAACATAGAACCACTATAAAAAAGAAACTACCTAGGACTACCTAGTATTTCGAGTCCTCAGACTTACGGACCTAAATTAAAAGAGGTCGGCTGTGCAACGGTTCCACTGTTCATGCTGATGACTGTTACGTGTAACCGCGATTCTATAACTTGAACATCCACTTGATCTTTTGCTATACTCGCAACGAAACAGTTGTTGTCTGAACCCTGATAGGCCCGTTTCATATCGCAACTCTGCGACAACTACAGTACCCTTACTAAGTATCGTACAGTCCATGTCTCAACGCCATTGTCTTGCGCTTTTCAGTGTATACACAGGGCGAACAGCTATCAGAGGAGATAATCACAACTCCCAGGACAATCGTAATTAAGTGACCAAATCTTATTCAACTAATAAACAACATATCTTGACGTACATTCACCTCCAGCTCATATCCATCCATCATCTATTGTCCATAGATGTATGTAAACCCAAAACCATTCTAACTAGGCAGACACCCAAACTCCACCCTGATTACTGTCCTTGTTCGAGTGAAATAGTATTCTCGAATTAGGGACCACCACTGATACTCACACCGAAAACCGCCAGGGCCACGGCCAAGTCGAATGGCTCTGTCTATCCCTCTTTGATAACCAGTCATAGTCTTCATGCTGCTGAGGCCGTCTTGTTGCCAGACCCATCCCCTGCTGAGGCCGCTTGGAAACCACCGAAGCCGCCGCGGCCGAAACCGCCACCACCTCCGTTACCGCCTTGGCCGCCCTGACCACCTTGACCTCCCTGATCACCGCCGCCATTCTGATCACCACCTTGGCCGCCTTGGTCTCCTCCCTGACCTCCGTTTTGGTCGCCGCCTTGACCACCAGCATTCTGGTCACCACCGGCATCAGCTGCTTGGTCACCACCGTTCTGGCCTCCATTTTGGTCACCACCTTGGCCTCCGTTTTGGTCACCTCCCTGACCTCCATTCTGATCGCCACCTTGACCTCCGTTCTGATCACCACCTTGGCCGCCAGCGTTCTGGTCACCACCGGCATCAGCTGCTTGGTCACCACCGTTCTGGCCTCCGTTTTGATCACCACCTTGGCCACCTTGGTTGCCGCCGTTCTGGCCACCACCTTGACCTCCGTTGTTACCTCCATTGTTACCGCCCTGACCTCCGTTGCTGCCACCGTTACCGCCGTTGTTACCTCCGTTGTTGCCGCCGCCGTTGCCACCTCCAACGGTGATACGGATGCAGTCATCCTGTGCTCCTCTCTGAGCAACAGGCATGAGGACTGGCTGATGGTTGGACGCGGCAGACATACTGCAGATACGGTAGTTACCGGCAGGCAGACCGCCGTCAACCTTGGCAGTGAGGAGACCTTGGCCGTTACCAGCATCGTTGATACCCTTGAAGAAGGCAAACTGCTGAGGGTCCAAAGGCTGAGTAGGGTTCAGACTATCGCCAGTGTCCTGGACAGTGACGTGGGTATGACCGATGATGTTACCACCACCGTCGAGGTCCTGGGGAGCAGCATAGTAGGTGGTTGTTGCATTAGTGAACGAGCCAGGTGCAAAGTTGATAAACTGCACTGAGATATCAAAGTCTTGATTGGCTTCAACGTTGTCGCCGTTTTGAGGTGATGTAAAGACTGAAGAAACCATGTTATTGGCTCCGGGAATCTTCCCCATAGCTATAGGAGTCAGTGCATGTAGAAGGGAAAAAGAGGATCGAAAAACTTACGAATACCGTTACATGAGCCGTCCCGGTTTTGCTCTCCATTGGTGAGTGTCTGGCCAGCACAGAAGTTGATGAAGTTGTTGTCATCCCTAAGTCTTTGTTAGTTGTCTTTTTTCCCTAAAAGGTAGATGTAACACACGTTGCAGAGGCAGCTTGCTCATCCGATCCGGGGTTGTTGCCATCTTGCTGCGAACCAGTTTGCACGGCATTGGCATCCAGAGTGTTGCCGCCGCCGCCGCCGCCTCCGTTATTACCGCCGTTGTTGCCTCCATTATTGTTGCCGCCGTTATTGGCCTGGCCGTTGTTGTTTCCACCATTGTTGCCCTGACCACCGTTGTTGCCGCCACCGCCTCCCCCACGGCCACCACCTCCAAATCGACCGCCGCCGAATTGTCGTCGTTGGAGAGCGCGAGCCAGGGGGTGTCGTTTTTGGACGACAGCAGCTTCTGTAATGGCAGAGATGCCCAGAAGAGCAATGATTACGCCTTTGACCTGCATTGTGATGACTTTATGTTGATCTTGCCGAGAGAAAGTGGAAAAGGAAATGAAGCCGAGGGCAAATACAATGTTGTATAAAAGCTTTCGAACGGTGCCAGACCAATTCGAAATAAAGAAAAAAGAATGGTCACAGTAAAGTCAACTTGGTCTCAAAGGAACGAATGAAAGAAAGAGACACTACCAGAGCTGAAGAGAAGAGAAGATGGTACGATTTTGGGACGAAGGGACGAGGGTTTAAAGCATCGGGGAAAACTGGAGATGATGATCGGAAACGAAGTTGCCGAGAAAAGAGGCTGGCTTCCATTATGACAATCCCAGACAATTCAACGTCTCGGGCTTGCACATCAGACCGGATGGCATCTGGGCGGTTGAAGGGGCCCGGTTCAGGGTCACAACTCCATGGACAACGGCTGGAGCGAGCAATAGTACCCAAGATCCATCCCTCGCTTGAGAGGCAAGGGGGCAGCGATCAAACTTGATGAGAAACACCAAGACAGAACATCGTGGAACACAGTGACAGCACTAGCTGCCTAGGACTTCTGAGACCGAGAAACGAAAACATGAGACAGCGGCAGAAGCGACCTGACGGCTTGGCCAAGGGGTCCAGACTCCAGAGTTGAGATGCCTGTTCGGGCTGGGCTCTTAGTTAGTCAGGGCAGGTTGAGATGATTGTTCTCAGGTGGTGTAACAGGGACGTTGGAGAATGTTAGTCAATTGTGAGCGAGTGTCATGTATTTCCTTAGCGCTTGGCTAGTCTTGGCGGAGGGTCATATCTCCGAGAGGCGATTGAGTGAGGATGTAATAGTAGAGATCCAAGTTAGGAGTTGACGTTGGAGATGGGATGCGGCTGCAGACGTCTCAGCCCGTGCCCCCTCCTTCCCAATTGGGATTGTGTAACTGGTTGCGCAGCCAATCAGAGTATGCACTGACCTGTACCTGCAGGTAGTTGCCAGGGGTGCCTATAACTCCAAGCACAGCGCGTTTCGTCCACTGAAGCTCGAAACTACCATTGTTAAACGCCAGTGTCGGAGAGTGTCCGCCCTGTAACGCAAAACTCATCAACCAGATCGAGAGAATCTGATGAATAATAGACGATATCCTCTCTGGGATGGGGATTTTTGTAATTGTCGACTTGGCTTGTCCACCGTCAACTGCGTGGCTATGCATTCGTCCTGTTTCTAACGTCTAGGTAGCTGATAATGCCAAGAGAGAAAAACTAACACCCCCAGCTATACTCGCTATATCATATCACGATATATCCTCACGAATTACTGTCAACAGGCCGTCTGAGATTCAGAAAGATTCTTACTCATTGCACTCACAAACTCAGGCATATTGAGTTCAGTCTAATCTCATCCAGACTTTTCACTCAGATCTAAGCTCTATCCAACCAGTTCTCACGACAGACAGACAAGTTGGAGGTGTGTTGCAGGTACGTCGCAGACTAGCAATAGCATTAATGCCCTACACTGGCGTTGCAACCACGAGGTAGCATCCAAACAGTGCCCTGTAACCGGACCTGTAACAATATCTCACTCGGTATCACGATTGTATTTTAAGCTTACAATATCGATAAGACATTTGCAGTTTCCCCAAAGTTCCTGTTTCATCCGCATTTTTGCAAAATCCTTCAGCAATTGTTGACTGATCACTCGTCTCAGGCTTGGAGTGACACTGGATGAATCATGATCACGAAGCGAGCCTGAATCATTCAATTCTCCTAATTGCAATGATGTCATGTTTTGAAATTTCGGACCAAGGCACATTGATTCCACATGGCATTTCGTGGTCTTGGCATTCTCTGTTAAAGAATTCGTGCAGATATCGCGGAGCATCAAATAGCCCAAGGATGTAATCACAAAAGTTACAGTCTCAAGGACCACAACACACTTATTCATAAGAAGCTACCAGTTGCAAAATATCCAGAACATTCTGATATACATGCACAATAAATAAATCAGAGCTCCTCGGACATCTGCTTCTGCTCAACATCCTTGTAAGCCTCAACGATCTTGTCGAGCCACGCAGCCATTCTGTAACCGGCCTTGGCAACCTGCTCCTCAATGACCGGGGCAGCCTTCTCAAAGTACTCGCCTCCGAGTTCCTGACCGACAATGGCATCGGCACCCTCGGGCAGAACTGTAGATCCATGTTAGAGACGAGTTGCAAATACAGCAGCTGTTGCCGGGGTAATCGACTTACCGTGAGTGCAGACGAGCGCATTGGCCTCTCGGGACCAAGCAAGTGCCGTGCTGATGGGGTCACTGAAGTCTAGATCCTTCAACCACGCGTCTTTTGCCTCTGCGAACTTGCCGTCTGTGATCTCGACTGCAAGCTGGTTGGCCCAGCTGTTGGCGAGCTTAAAAGGGTCGCCGTGCAGACCACCCAACAGCTTCTCGGCGATAGAACTGTCCCAGACGTGGTGGAGGTTGAATGTGCGGCCGTCAAATGTCACTGCAAGACCGTTACCTCCCTTTTCGACATTTTCGTTATGTAGAGGCTGGTGCAGATCCCCGATAAAGTGAACGACAAACTTGGCGGCCTGGTTGCGCTGCCAGAAGGGCAACTGAGGCTCAACTGACTGCTGGGTGTAGTTCTTGAGGGCGGTGAGGACACAACCATCGTCCTTGCAATCGCGCTCAAAGTCGACGTCACACTTGTTAGGAGGACTGTCATGAGCGTCGATGAAGTGAAAGGTCTTGGTGTATCGACCCCAATCTGTGTAGCGAATTGAGTCTGCCCATGATGCTATTTTCGCCAAATAGTCTTCCTCGTCATTATAGAGAATATACTTGAGGTGAGCCTCGGTGGTGTTTGCGACAAAGTGACTGGCGAGGTAAGCGGTGGTGATGTGACCGAGACCTGTGATATGTGAGCTTAGTAAGTAATATCGCTTCACGATGAATTAATGAACTCACTGCCCCAAGCAAAAGTGCTAGGCAAGTTAGCGAGGCCAAGAGCCAGCGCGCCAGCTGAGAGGAGCTTCATCATAACAGAATGAGGGCGGTCGCTACGGAATGCAGCAGGTTTATCAGTCACGAAATGAAGGGAGCAGAGTCAAAGCATTGAGAGGGAAATGAAGACGTTAAAAAGATGAGCACGCTTAAGCTCAAGGTTACCGAGTAGGAAGAGGCGAATTCTAGATTGGACCAAAGCGTTTGAAGCTGGAGAGCTGAGCGCGAAGCGGTTGGCCAAGGCCGCCTATGTTTACGTTAGTCCTGGAGCATGATCGATAGTTGCTCATGAGTTGTCAGGGGTCTAGCTACTGGAGGCAGGATAGGCAAGCTTATGGCGAATCATGGTGGGCATGTGCCGCTCTACGGTGAAACCTTGAAAGTGGCTGGGAAGAATGGAGCTGAGGCCGCTGAGGTTTGCTCTAGTTTGAAGAGCTGAGGCCGATAGTTTATCATAAAAGCAGTAGAGCTATGCAAAGTATCTAGACTAACTTAGAATTACTGCATGAGTCCTCAATACCATAAGTTTAATCTGTAGCTTGCACTGGATGGCTAAGGTAACTTCCATACCTAGTAGTGCTATCATGATAAGGGTCAATCGGCCACTTATCGGAGGAGATAGACCCTGCATCTCACAAACTCACCTCACACAAAAAGACTCACGCGCCTTGGAATGCCTGCGGGTTCTCCATATTTTAGCTCACAAGATCTCCAAGCCCAGTGCGTCACTTGTAGCGATAAGCGCTCCTCAACTGGCCAATACACGATGACCAGTTACCAAACGGATCGATAAGACCTCCACTGTTGAACCCGACAACGGGGCCGACCTCCCATGGGGATCTCTTATCCGAGTCTGTGTCTGCAGTGCTTTGCGTCGCCTGGGTTTGGTATGTGAACCGTTGATCGTGGAACATTAAACTTTGCTGCTTATTGAAGTGCTTTTTTTGCTCTATCTTACTCTTTCTTGTCTTCAGATTCAGACTGCAACCAGAAGAACAAACTTTGAATCCTTGACCGGGTTTCGAGTAAACTCTGAATCAGAACAGAACCTCTCTTCTGGAATTTGGATCTGCATTCATTCACTTGCTTACTTGCTTCCTACACTCGATCGCTCTTTGTCGCCGGCTGCCCTCGTGATACCCACCTTTGTCGCACCACCCTCTTCCTCTTCTACGTTACTTGATCTGATCTACCTTATCTAAACCTCTTCTCATTCTCTTTCTCCTTCTCGATTTTACCCTCTTCACTTCCTTCGAAAACGACGACGACGACGATGCCGCTGCTGGCCTCAACCTCAATCGCCGCTGCGGCGCATGCGTTACCGGTCACGTTGGCTCTGTCGGGCATTTTTGGTAGCATCAGCTTGACCTCTTGGATATGCCTCCTCGTGCGTCCCTCTCTCTTCTCTCATTCGCGCGTCCTTGTGTTGCATTCGCATTCATATTCGCCATCTCAATTGCATGCGCGACCCTTAATTCTCCCCCATCCTGGCTAACGATGCTCTGCAGCTACCCCAATTGTTCGCCAATTACAAGGCCAAGAGCGCCGATGGCCTCAGCATGGCCTTTCTGGTCGTCTGGCTCTTGGGCGACATCACAAACCTCATCGGTTAGTTCCCATTCCTACCTGAATACCCCAAAATCAAATTTTGTCTTCGGCACAGAGACAAATACCATTGCTACGCCATTGTCTAGTGCCTTGGTCAGAAAATTTGATGTCGGCTAGAAGTGGCTTGCCACCACGCCTACTTTCAGTTTGGCTAACTGCTTTCTAGGAGCCTTGTTCACCCACCTAGCTCCCACTGCAATTGCCCTAGCAGGATACTTCTGCATTGCCGATATTGTCCTCATCGGCCAGGCCGTCTACTACAATGCCCTTAATGCCCGCCGAGCGAGTCGCGCCGGGGAACGTCGATCAAGCGGTCCTACAGAAGAGTCTCCTCTGATCAACGGGTCCCGTAGACGAAGCTCTTCTTTTGGCCTTCCTGGGTCTCAGCGCCGCCATGCGACACATACCGAGTCCTCGATGGACCCATTGAGGAAGATTGTGACGGGCGAAGACGAAACCCCCGATAGTAAGCCTTGGCTTCACAACACCCTGAGCCTGCTCGCTGTATACGTCATTGGGTTCGCTGGCTGGTTTGTCTCGTACAAGGTCGGCGCTTGGGAGAGTGGTGACCCTGGAACCCCCGATGCGCCTGATGAGGCCCAGAGCCCAATGGAGCTTGCTGGGCTTATTCTGGGTTACATCAGCGCAGCGCTCTATCTCTGTGCTCGAATTCCCCAAATCATCAAGAACCACCGGGAAAAGTCATGCGAAGGTATGTTGATCCATGCTTTTAACAATGGATGAGACTGATAATCTGCAGGCCTCGCATTGCTTTTCTTCATGCTCTCAATGAGCGGAAACCTCACCTACGGCATCAGCCTGGTAGCTTACTCGCAAGACAAGAAGTACTTGCTGAACGCGCTCCCTTGGTTGCTTGGCTCTCTGGGCACCATTGCTGAGGATCTCATCATCTTCGTCCAGTTCCGAATTTACTCCAACGATGAACGAGAGAGTGCAATTGAGCCTTAGATCGTGATCGACAAGACAAGACAAGATATGGCAATTGAATTTTGAAATGGACCAGGGGAGGATATTGGAGGTTCTAATGTGCATGAATTGGCGTTTCATTCATTCATATGCATCGAATTTGAGAAATTTGTTACATGAAGGAAGGGTGAAGCTTGGACAAGCTCACACTCAATACTGGGACATCCTCGGGATAGAGGTGCATGACATAATGCTTCGGGTCGAATTATAACTCTTCGGAGGGTTTTTCTTACTTGTCAATTCAATGAGTCTTTTAACATGTGTTTTGCCAGTCATTAAACATTCTTGCGACCAATTGAAAAAACTGAAGCCTTTAATTCGACGATAAACTCGACCCATGAGAGCACTCTCATGCCATAGTGGGGTTACACCTATTGAAATTCGGCGACTCAGCTCCGATGACGGGGTCGGAGGTTTGGCGGGGTTATATTCTACTCGGTACTTTCAATAAGACTCACTCGCCTCAACGCCAAAATTTAAACATCCGCAACCCCCCAGCGTATCTTTGACTGTTTCTCTTGACCTCTTCGCCGTCGAGAGTCTCTCATTGATTTTATAACAGACACACACCCACTATGGCCTCTCAATTCCCTACCAAGAAGTGCGGTACGTCGCGCTCAACACTCCCCCTCCATCCGATTTCGCACCACCCACCATAACTTCCATGTCAACGTCTAGACACGCATTTAGCATCAATACTGATCCATTCACAGGTGTCCTCGGTGCCACTGGCTCTGTGGGCCAGCGCTTCATCCTCCTCCTCGCTCAGCACCCATACCTCACCCTCCATGCCATCGGCGCCTCATCTCGTTCCGCCGGCAAGAAGTACAAGGATGCTGTGCGATGGAAGCAGGCCGCCCCCATGGGCGATATTGCCGAGATGGTTGTGAGAGAATGCAAGGCTGAGGAGTTCAAGGACTGTGATGTTGTCTTTAGTGGTCTTGACTCTGACGTCGCTGGCGATATCGGTATATCCCTCTCTATCACGTATCGGTAATAACTGATGTCACTAACTTTATGTGTCTGCAGAGCTCGAGTTCATCAAGGCCGACATTCCTGTCTTCTCCAACGCAAAGAACTACCGTCGCGATCCTCTCGTGCCTCTCGTCGTTCCCACCGTCAACCTCCCCCATCTCGACCTCATCCCTCATCAGCGCTCTGTTCGCTCTCTCAACAAGGGCTTCCTCGTGTGCAACTCCAACTGCGCCGTCATTGGTCTTGTTATTCCCTTTGCCGCTCTCCAAGCCGCCTTCGGACCCATCTCTACCGTCTCCATTGTTACTTTGCAGGCCGTTTCTGGCGCTGGTTACCCTGGAGTCTCCAGCATGGACATCATCGACAACATTGTCCCCTTCATCTCTGGCGAGGAGGACAAGCTCGAGACTGAAGCCCGCAAGATTCTCGGTCGCCTTGATGACAATGGTACTGCCTTCATTGAGCAAGAGGGTCTTCGTGTCTCTGCCACTTGTAACCGTGTTCCAGTCATGGACGGCCACACTGCATGTGTTAGTTTGAGCTTCGAGCGCAAGCCCGCTCCTTCAGCCGACGAGGTGCGCAAGGCTCTTCGGGATTACAAGAGTGAGGCTCAGGCTCTCGGATGCCCTTCTGCACCTGAGCCCGCTATCAAGGTCTTTGGCGACGATGAGCCTGACCGTCCTCAGCCCCGTCTGGACCGCGACCTTGGCCGTGGATACACTGTCAGCGTCGGCCGTGTTCGTGAGGATGAGGCTGGCATTTTTGACATTAAGTTTACAGCCCTGAGCCACAACAGTGAGTCTTCCATCTTCCCCTCTGAGGACTTGTCTCACACTGACCGTTGCAGCCGTTATCGGTGCCGCTGGTTCATCGATATTGAACGCAGAGGCCGCCATTCTCAAGGGTTACATCTAAGAGTACAGGGTAAGGGTTATTTTAAAAAACAATTCGATCATGTAAAGATAAAAATAGACAATGGTATTTTTTCGGCGTTCAGCATTATCTCAACCCCTGCAAATATGTAACCTTACAGAACAACGGGGAAACTAAGAAGCGAGGTGAATTGCTAATTATTCATGATGGTCCGTAAAGTACATGCAACAGCCGACCATGAGGGTATACCATATCTATTCCTATCCCAGCGCAAGTGTCTTGACACCAATCATGCGCAACCCAATGACTATAACCAAACTCAAATATGTGATATTCTAAAGTCCTGGCAATCCATGCTGTGCTCTGTATCCGAGTGCGCAAGCTATCCATCCATTGCGCCAAATCATAACCAGAAAACTCCAAACTTATACAAACAAAACGCCATGTCATATGGCTCGCCGCACATACCAAGCAGGGTATCTGTAGCATCATCGGCTGCGGTCCTCGGGAGAAGGAGACCTTGCCCTGCCAATGCCACTGGAGAAAATACTGAGCCAACCGTCGTGTCGACTCCATCGTGAAGTTCGGGATTCGTTGGCAAGCAAACCCTGTTCAAGATCGGATTCACGGTCATCTGAACGAGAGCCAGAGCCTTCCGCAATAGTTCCATCGTCATCGTCATCATCGTCATCACTTGCATCGTCGCGATATGGTTCGTAGTGTGGCTCAGATGATGAGCCATGAGCGAGAGACCGAACTACGTCGCCCTTGCAGATGGGGCAAGTTCGTCGGCGAGTCGTCAACCAGGGAGTTCTATAGACTGTTAGTAATTGAGACTTGCATGAAAGCATGCAATTGAAGAACTTACATGCACTCTACGTGAAACTCGTGACCGCATGGGAGGCTCATGACCTGGCTCACGCCATCGACGTATTCCTCTAGACACACCACACATTCGACTTGACGTCCCATGTACTTTTTCCACTCAGCAGAAAATCCACCAGAGCCCTTCTCGCGCTCAGATCGAGCATTGTTCCTGGTTGGGTTTGAAGGTGTTGGTATAGCGTCACTAGATCGCGTTTCTTCTTCGGGAGTACCCGTTGAGCCCCTCGACCGAGGTCGTGGTCGTGAGGGAGATTCCTGCAGTAGAGGAGTGGTTGGTGTCGGAGCGGACGGTGAAGGAGTTCTCGGTGTCAAAGGTGGCGAGGGAGCGACTGTATGGAACGTGCGCACGGGTAGACGTTCAACGACTGACTTCGGAGCTCTCCAGCGCCTTCGGCGGATTCTAGCGCGAAGAATCAGAAGGGCGTATACGAAACTCAGAGTGACTAGCGGGCTGACGACCAGTACGAGAAGCGTATCGAAAAACGGGCTAGCATTACTCGTGGGAGTGATGGTGACCCAAAGTCCATCGTGTGCGTCATCGTCGGCTTCATCGGGCTCGTCATGTCCCTCTTCGCTACGTTCGTGGGAAAAGTCGAGGAGGTTATCCTCATCCTCTGTCAAGAATTCAACCAGAATTTCTTCCTCATCGGGTTCAGGATCATCGTCACTTGTGCGATCGCGAACAAGGGAGGCCTTGGATGGAATTACAGGTTTGAACCTTCTGGATCCAGGATGCCTCCAGTCGTCGTAATTATCCTCAGATAAGAGGGGACTTCGAATTTCTTTGGGTGACCCTCTGACAACCTTGGTTTTCTTGGTGAAAGTTTTCCTGGAATATCTAAGCGCCGTTCTTCGCTTTTTGTTGTTTGGTTTGGTAGATTGCTCTTCAATTTGGCTGTGGGTGTCGCCGGCAGATCGTCTATCGTGGGTCGAGGCGGTAATTGTGGACTTGACGCCTTGTCTACTGTGCTTCCTGGATTTGGAACCTCTCTGAACTCTAAGAACAGGATTGCCTTGGTTGTCTAACGTATCTTCGATGAAGCTCCCTGGTTGCGTTAGCGCAGACAGCAGCTGCGCGGTCGTGCGTGCAGTGAAAACGGATGGAATGGTGACATTATCGACTTCAGGGCCATGCGCAAACATCTGAATAAGAGGGCCGCCTTTCTGGTTATCGCCAACAATGACGGCGAGAGCGCCTCTTCGTTGCGCCCACATTACTTTGTCGAGAAAACCGCAACCGCCTCGCATTAGTAGCGCCACTTTGCCGTCGATTTCGGAATGGTCATGTATGACAGAGACATGGCTGGAGGTGGTGTGACCATTGCCAGCGTTGGGGATAACGACTCGGCTTCGCTTAGCACGGACAGAAGTGCTGGACCTGGAAGTCGAAATAGAAGGGACAGCAGCCCTCAGGGCCTTGTGAAGAGCAATGGCCTCTGCTCTCTCATTCCAACCCGGTGTGTCGCTGCAGCCCAATTCGCCGGTACCGTGTATAAGAGCATCCTCTGCAAAACCACTGCCCACCCATAACTGACCACTTAGACCTCGCATAGCGAGCTTGGGACCAAAAGCGGCGGGGCGGGCGGCAAAGGAAGTGCTGTTGTCGTCGGTCAAGCTGATGGCAGCATTTGGTGGAAATAATGAGAATGGGGTGTTGTAGTACATGGAATTCCAGACGGACTTTGGAGACTTTTCTGAATCATCATTATGCGACCGAGACTGAGACGACTTGGAGTCAGTCTTTTGTCTGGACCTGAAGTTACCAGCGGGGTAATCGGCGTAGGCGGTACGGAGCGAGGATGATATAGCGCGACAGAAGAGGAGGAGAGAGGCTGCGATAAAGAGTATAAGAACAAAAACGCGCGGGGGACGCATTTTGAGCGACTGTAAAAACAAACTCTCCAAAATAGGTGAATGGAGAAGAGGATAGGGGAGAGAGGGAGAGAGAGAAAGGAAGAAGGAGGAGGAAGAGGATAAAAGAGAGAGAACGAGAGGTTGGTGTTGGTGAGCTGAGGTGTGAGTGAGGTGACCTTGGGGTTTCGCTTTGGGCTTGGGGTCACTCGGAGATATACAAGTCACATAAACCAAAGACGTCACCTCTGGTCTAGGCCGATCATCCGTTGGTTGGTTGGTCACTCTCTTTTTGTTTTTGGAGAAGAGGATGGAGGAAAGGAAGAGAACAGGAAGTGAAGCTCCGATGGGAACACTCAAGAGACGAGGGAAAGGTGAATGGGAGAAAATGATGGCATGGCCCAAGTTGCTTTATGAGAGACTCGAGTAACAAGAAGAGCCAGAAGAAGGTCAGTATCAGTTGCCAGGCAAACAACGTGAGTGAGCGAGCGAGTATAAGGAAAGTTGATGTCAGTGTGGCTGACTGCAAAGTCAAATCGGATCCCTTAGGTTCAGTGATAGATCTCACAAAGGAAAAGGAATAAACTGTTAAACTCTCTTCTTGGCGATGGGAGTGGGAAAAGGGCAGATCATAAAAAGTTACAAAGGTTATCAATTCTCCCCGTGTGTGTTATTAGTGACGACAAAAAGACAATGCATCCGAATCAATGACATGGCATGGCATGGCAATGGGCAATGGCTGATGAGAGGGGGAGGGACAAAGAGACGCACGCGGCATGGTGCCGTAAGTGGAGGGTTCTGGGCGGGGGTGACCTGGAGGCTAGAGCTGTGAGCGCTGTAACCGGCACCTCGACCCCTGTCATTTCAAGGTCCCTCAGGTATCTTTGGCTTTTAGGCTTTAAGAGAGCTTTTCTTGGTAGCTTGGCTATTGCTGGGGGGGACCAACCCAACAACGTCTCAGAATCAGTTGACCAGGTCAAGACGGGAGAGAGCTAAGAGCTTGTCTTTCGTGCTTGGTTGCACATAAGTCGGGCTCTTTTCAACTCGACTCGGACTCGAGGGTTCAAGCAAAGCCATGAACAGAGACCAACCCAACCCAAACTCAGCTGCACAACTCCCGTGGGGCCCTGTCATGATCAGGCGCCCTTCAAAACCAGGGTCTCTTTGGCTCTGTCTGTTCTGTTCTGCTCTTCTGGAGGTCACGTCACGTCACGAAACAGCCTCCACTCTCTAGCGCAGCCTACTCCACTCATATCCAGAGCTAAGCTCCCAAGTTAGTAGATATTCGGGGTAAACTTGACGCCTCAAAGTCAATCAATCTTGTTCCTGAGCGTCTACCGCAACCGTAAACTCGTGACTCGAGGCTGCAGAGCCTTGGGCGAGCCGCTGTGCAACAAACCAACAATTCTTTGGCCTATTGACTTCGCTACCTTTGCTAGGTACCTAGGGATCTAGGTACAGGTGCAACGCCGTAGTGTGTTGACAGACAAAGTCGCGTGTTTTGTTTTGCTGTCGGTGAAACGGTCGGCTACGGCCATTCTCCATTCTCTATGCTCCGTGCATGAGACGAGATGATGTGGTTGTTTCTCGGAGCCTCTTTTCTCTTCTTGACTAACTTGATGCTAACAACTTTTGTTAGCTTCTGACACGTGAGAGCGTCAGGTGAGTCCCTTCGATCAGACACAGCCCGACAATGGAAGTGATCATGTCTAAGCCTTCAGCTACTTTAGGTACCTACCTACCTATCTAAGGTTCTAAGGTTCTAAGGTTCTAAGGCTCTAAGGCTCTAACGGCGGGCTGCGGAGACCCGCGGAACCATGAAACCTTTCATCCATCCAAATTACGCTACCTCCAATGATCGACCCTCAAAGTGCTTGCGCAACACAACATACGAATTCACCAATCAAGCTCGTATAAAGACAGCTTGAACAAAGATCCCTCTCCTCTCTCGTACCTGATCTAAATCTAACCCTGCCCTGCCTCGGCAACGTAACGGGTCTGCAGATGCAGGTCCAGGTCCACGTTGCGTTTGGTTTGACCTTAAAATAGATAGATCCATTATTGATTGATTCCCTTGGACGTGCGTCGACCAAGCTTTTTGGCCTTGTCTGTCGGTCACTTCTCCCTATCCGAAGGGCTGAAGGGCTGGAGGGGCTGCTCGAGGTCGAGATCAACAATCCCTTGAGCAAAAGGGATAACATAACCTCATACTACTCTGTATAGACTACTCGATTGCATCTTTGAATCAAGTTTAAGCTTGTATTCAAGTTAAATTAATGACTTGCGATTGCCCGGCTTGGGTATCGCTCCATCGGCGTTACCGCTATCCAGCCTCAAAGTTAGGGATTGCCAGACTCGGCTGTGTAATTGTGCCACCACCGCGATCTGGTCAAACATGGCGTTTTTGATCCATGCTACTTCTGGCCTGCCCGGATCCAGGCACCGAATCCAGTTCCGTATGTGATCGTGATTCTATCCGTGCGCCTCTTCATACCTACCTAGTAGTTACTAGGTAGGCACTGACTTCAGTCTTCAGTGACCTGTGATTCTGCCTTAATAGCACCGGTTCGGGCGATAGTGCAGGTTCCGTTGTGACATTCGTCTAACCTTTTCATTAGTACGCGCGTGTCCTATTTCCAATGCGTCTATTTGAACTCCGCTGTACGTCCATGTTTATCCTAAAGGCCGATTTCTCCCTGGCCAACCCGCCCAAAGCAATCCCTCAAAACAAGGCAGTGAATGAATGCTACGCTATATCCAATCATCATCTGTGAATCATTGTCTCGGCTCATAACCTCGATCCAATCCGTTGGTCGGTCGTACCGATGCTCAACTATACGTCTGGCTGGGCCACTCCGTCTGACCCGATCACCTTGCCAACGTCCCAAGCCCTCTTCTCCCCAGCCTTGGACCATTGCACACTTTCCGTAGACTTTCCATCTGCACCGCTGGCACGCTGTATTTGCTCGTCTGCAAAACCGGCGTCTTTTAGACGTTGCTCCTGGTGTTGTCGTAGCTTTTGACGGTCTCTAAACGCCTCAACAGCATCATCCCAGTCATTGCCAACCTCATCTTCATCCATTTGTATGTCAGTCTTGGGATCGTATGTGTCTGAAAACCGTCGATCGGTACCCGAAGACCCTCCCACTGTTCCTCGACCCCGGTATTTCGGGGGCGGTGTGGGTCCGATCAGATCTTCCATGGCATCAGATCCCTCTTCTTCATCTTCCTCTTCCTTCCGCTTGCGGTTTTCGATCTTATCTAGAGGCGATCGATGCCGATGCTTACTCTTAGATTCCCTAGGCGATCGAGACCGTCGTCGGCTTGCAGGTGATCTAGACCTGTCTCTCCGTTTATGACTGCGACGATGATGACCTTCTTCCTCGGACTCTCTGTCTCTGCTCCGCGTTCTATCGCGCTGTCTGTGATCTCTTCGTGACCTATCCGACCGCCTCGACTCATCGTCAGTCTTACTACGACGATCGTCGCGCGACAGTCGACCGTGTTGTCGCTGCTCACTGCGTTTGTCTGTGAAAAGGTCGTCTGGTCTCTGGTCGTGTTTTCGTTCCTGTCTTCGATCCTTGTCGGCGCGTCGCGAATCTCTCCTTGAAGAAGGGGCAGCCTCATCTTCGTCTCTTGGCCGTTTCTTACCGCCTAAAATGGCATGAATATCGCCCATCTGCCGCCGTCGAATGTCATGAACACTCGGGTTTGTCTTGCGCCGCTTGATTTCTTCTGTGCGCTCGAGATCCTTGAGCCGTGCCTTGGACTCGGCGGCCTCTTTGGCTAACAGTGCCTTGTTGTGATTGTCGGTATCCTTTATAATATGCCGTAAAAATCGGGTGTTGGGTTTCATCATATTCGCAGGTCTGAAGCCATGTCAGCGACAGACTTGCCAGAATTGGTGGGTGTATGCATTACTTCTTATTCGTGCGATATGCTTCCATACCCATGGCTGAATATTTGAGAGAGCAGTCGCTTGCCTCTTGCGACAAGAGGTCAGCGACATAATCGTCGGTTAAAAGTTCGTCGTTTTTGGACATAGTTGATTCAGCATGAGAGTCCAGGGTATGCGCCATTCGTCAGATATGTATATTGCCCAGAGATTGCGCTCCAAAAAAGAGAAAATGAAATGAAATGAAATGGTTGTAAGTCGAGGTTGCAGCTCTTGTGTTTGGTTAGACGTGCTAATGGATGCATTGATGTCAGCAGTCTTCTGCCGCTCCACACCGCCTGTGGCCCAAACGGCATCCCGCTAACCGCTAACCCAAGTTAGGTTTCAAAGTAAACACCCGATATCCGCGTTCTACGTAGTAAACACAATCAAGTCTATATCACGAGCCTAAGAATTGGTCTTCTCTTGTCACAATATCGCCGTTTCCTAGACTGCCATGAGTCAGCCAAATCCAGAAAAGGTTCTTGAAGCCTTGAACAAACTTCAGTCATCACAAGAAATCTCAATCATCAGACTCAGTGAACCCATCTCAAGCTCAAGGCCTCAAGATGCCCGGCAACGAACATCAGATGCATCAAATTCAGCCTTTGACGCGCCAACTCCCGCAGGCTTAACAGCCGATCTAGAACACTACAAAGAGCTCTTCGCCAAATTGCGCTTTTCATATGTACAGCAAGTCACAAAGGAAAAGTTCATCCGAGCCATTGTCGGCGACCCACCAATGATTGTCACGATGGAAGAGAATCTGGAACTTGAAAAGGAAAACGCGGTTACAAAGAAGCAACTCAAAGAACTCAAAACAGAAGTGGCGGATATGGTGGCAGATCTTGAGAGGAGAGGCATCGAGCTTAGCCAGAAGTACGAGAGTGTGCAACTTGAAACGGCAAAGCTGCGTGAGATGCCTACAAAGATCCAGGATTTGGAAATGAGAATTGAACAACTACGCACAGAACTAGAAACACCAGATGGATCCGCCCCCAGCATGAATCTGCCTTTAGCCAAAACCCAGGATCTCGTCAACCAACGCAAGCTGGAACAGCAGGAACTCGCGCGAGAGCTGGAGTCCTTACAAGCCAAGGTCCCTCGGAAAAGAAAGGAGGCTGAAAGACTTCGTATTGAGCTGCAGCCTCTTGAGAACAAGCGCCAAAATAGCGCGACTGCTGCGCGTGAGGCGAGGAGGAGAAAGGAGGCCGCTTTGGGTGGTGCAGCGGACGACCTGGAGGAGAGAGCTCGCTGGTGGAGAGCGAGTGAGGGTGTGTTGACGCAGGTTTTGGATATCAAGAATTAAGAGATGGCGAACAGGAACGAAGACCTGAGATATCACGATACGATCGGCTTGTGAGGACATGGGACACGGGACACGGAATAGGGGTAGGGGCGTTTAGCATAGGTAATGCTACCTGGCCTTTGTTGTAGCTTTGGCAGGATATTTCTGTTAATTTTGAGGTTGAGAATCTCACGGCAGGTTATCTGCGATTCTATTCAATGCAAATAGGTGCCTTTAAAGTGAAGCCTCGACCTGTTTGCAGCACCATGTAGTCAACTATACCAAAACTGTACTCCCATACGACATTAAGATGATTTCCTGAGGACTCTCGTGTATTCTTCATCATGGTATTTGGAATGTGTCCTCTGAATTTATCATTGAACACAGATAAGATCTCCTTCGCCTTCAGAGTCCAGTCCCATGTGCTGGTATGAACTCTTCATAACTCAAACATGCTAGAGGCCTGCACTACATATAATGCCCTGATTCACCGTCGAAATGCTTTCCATAGGCTTTACAAGCATCATAGGATCCAAATATTGGTCGTTATACGCCTGAGACCTGCACATAACCATAGATGATAGTGCAGGTTGTCAGTCCCAGGCACAATGTTGAACGATATATAATATTGATAATGGCTCCTTGAAGACGTGAATATTGACTTTCATCTTTCTTCCGCCCAAAAAATGCCAGAGCAATACTAACAGTGTTCTTTAATTAGTAAAGACGCATGTCAATGACGGTCTGACATATGAGTGGTAAACAACCACAGTTACGACTGCAGGACAACAACTATGGCTATGTCCATCTTTGAAAATGGATATAATATTGCCAACCAATACTGTATATATGGGACTGCCTTCCTCTGGCAAAGCATGCCGAGTATTGGCGTCTTCCAACTGAGTGTGCCAGTTACAGGGGTAGCCTATAACTCTATAAAGTAGTTTTCCCATTTGATGCCGGCAGAGCTATAGTTGTATCTCAACCAAGGAACAAGCTTAGAAACCTAATTTGACTCAGCAGGTATAGAAATGCTGATGACAACTTAAACTCAACCCCCTCTGGATCGTGGCAGTCTGGTCCCTGTCGATAACAGTTATATGCAGTCACCCAAGACACATTTATACATAGCTTCTAACTTTATATTGGTCATGAATCTCTTTAAAAGAGATAAATAGTCTCTTTATCGTTAAACGGGCAACGTCAGATAGTATAGCGGTATTATGCTTCGGGCAGGGACAAAGGATACTGGTCCATAGCAGTGACACAGGATGAATGCTTACTGTGAATTATATATTGACAATACTTCGCTCAGAGCCATTAGCAAATGCGGATAACCCTACTCTGAGTGCTAAGAGTCCTGATATCTATGCTTATAAGAGCTCCCCAGCCAGTAAACGAATAACCTATCCATTATCAGGAAAACATCAATAACATTGAAGACTTTGAGTGACACTCAAAAGATGACATGCCCCTTCTAAAGATTAGTCGGAGTATATAGAGTACTGAGCATAAGAGAAAAGATAGGCTAAGTAGTAGTAAAGTATTAAAGAAAGAAAAGTCACCGGCAGGAGACAAACTGGTCCAATAACCCCCTGTATTATCCCCCATCAAATAGATTTCTCTCCTGAAGTTTCCATTTGACTTCCAGCCCTCGATTGAGTATGGTATCATACTAGTATCGACTATCCTATGGGCTATTTATACTTACTCACAGTGAAATCCCAACATCATCGTATCGTGCACGAGCGAGGAAACACCACTAAATCAACGCCTCTCTGTATAATAAGGCCTATACACAACATAGAGTTCCTTGCTAAGGAGTTCCTAATCCCACTATCGACTTGATGGATATGTTCCTGACTGTACCATTCCATAAGATAAGATAAGGGAGCATCTCGTCTAATGGCCTGGAACCACAACAGCAGAATAGGCGAATTTCATGCTTCTACATACTCCTGACAACTCGAAATGCATTCCTTGTTGGGACATATCTCGGATACATATGCTCGCTCGGGCTCCACTCAGAGTTGATTATCAATAAGTCTCCTATCTGTCGGCCGACTTTACTAACATGGGACGGCAGGGAAAGTAATACAAATGCAGTGTTGGCGCCAGCTCAACATGGCTGACATGAGGGCTTACAAGCGTGACATTGATATCATGTAGTAATAAATAAATGTAGTGTAGATCCTATTTTCTGATTGGGTTCCAGACTTTGCCAGCAGATCAAGTCAGCACTAGATCTCCGGGGTTTATGAAGCTACCTACTTAGGTTATTGAGGGTATCTTTTTATATCCAATGCCAACTGAGCGAATGTGGTGGTAAGAATTATTAATAACTGGGTGCAATTCTGCTTGATTAGTGCTTTGATGAGCAAGGCATAATAATAATAATAATAATAGCTGCAGTCAGTAAACATCAGATGGTTTGAGTTGAATATTGCTCGGCCACAATTTGAAGCCCGGTTCCGTCACTAAAACCAATACGCGTACTCATTTCATCCATGAGAGAGTTTTCAGAGGATGCAAAATGTTTTTTTACGCGGGGAATAGCAAAGCCCGACCCGCATACGCAATGCGCCTTTACGGGCAAATCAACTGTGCGACACTGACTTTCAAACGCCGGGACCCGATATCTGGTCAAAAAGGCGTCCGTCTAACAAGCTGTCGCTATTATTTTGTCGCTCAAGGGTTCAGCAACTTCCATAGCCACAGCCAAGACCGAGGGGGGGGAACATTGACCGAGCCAAGGCCAAAGCCAGGGCCGCCAAAAGACAAGACATGTTTCCAAGGCTTGGCTGCCTCTCATTCTCGGATTGTTCCACGTAAACAGAGTTTGGGAGGGGGATTTCGTATATCTCGGGTCCTTGAGCCCAATTTCATGCACGTGCGTTGGTGCGCCCTCTCGACACAACACAACACAGCTCGACCTTGACCTTGACCTTGACCTTGACCTCGACCGGAGCTTACTTACTTCAGACAGGGGATCAGGATGACTGAGCCTGACTGGTCGAATGGGTTTACCCAAAACGGGTTGCATGTAGCGCGCACCCGCTGATTCATCGGGGGGGGGGGGGGGGTCGAATACGGCCTCTATCTGCGCAGTACGGCGTATTTTCTTGGTAGAGTTTTCCCCCAAGTGCCTTGGCTGTCGTGGTGATACGTGGACGAGCGGTCTGAGCCTCTCTTGTCAGGGAAATGAGAGACTTGGCTTGAGTTAAGGTTAGACGATGGATGCTATGCCTTGCCGTGTCTGAGGACGAGCTTAGCTAACTGCGCGGTGTGTTCGGAAACTGGTGGGAATCATTGGAAGAGATGAACGAGTGTGGTTCAATATGACAAGGACCTTGGCGGGTGTAACGTTGAGGTGAGGGCGAGTACCGGCAATTATTGTATGTATTGTACGGATACGTGGCTTGGACTCGGTGTTGAAGAACATGCATGCGTCCATACGAAAATGAAGCTTGAAAATGATGGTTTGAGGTGCCGATCTGTGTGAAACCCTGGTTGTGAATCATCAAATGGTTGAGTCCACCACAGTCGGCATGATTACTACTCCGTAGGTAGGTAGGTAGGTTACTACCTATTGGAGTTGATCTGGTCTCGAGGGATAAACGTGTTGAGAATTGAACATGTTGCTGGTACATAAAATGCATCTTGTATACCCATCATTGAAATCCTCCTATATAAGAAGTCGCCGTCCTCGCTATCACATCACATCACATCGCATCTCTTCGCTTCGCTTCGGGAGTTATGCTTGCTCCCGCATCCCGGCCCCACATGTACACCGCGTGGCCGTGAACTGCGAGCGAGGCCCACATGTGACCTTTTGTGTGATTTTTGCATCGCATCGCATCGCATCAATGTCACTATGCGACTATGCGAAAACGCGTATCTCGAAGGAGAACTCGAATATGCGTATTATTATTCCGTCAGCCTCAGATCATTTGAGACGCATTGGGCAGTCGTTCTGCATTGGGTGTGATATCATGATTGACTTCTCGAGTAGAACCCAATGCAGTAAAGACAAACTTAGTACATCCATACTTTGATAAACGGACTTTGCGAAGAATGTAGCTGCATCGATCGACACCTGATTCATCCCACGCAATTCGCTTAGTTCATAAACGTTACCTGATGGTTGAAACTCAATGCCCAAGTCCAAGACGAACAGAGGCAGAGGCAAAGGCAAAGGCAAAGATGCAAGGCGTAGCGCAATCTGATCTACTTTATCGAGATCGCGCAAAGACTTCTCCAAAGAGTCATGGCCGAACAAAACGAAGGAGGTCAAACCCTGAATCTACCACACAGACTCTTTGTACCGGTATTATGCCCAAAAGGCAAACAGTTTCAACTCTCTAGCAACACACCTGACCCGATCTGATCTGATCTGCCTGGCATGATGCGAATCGAATGTCTCTTACCCCTTATTATCCAACTCCTTTTTCTCCATCCATAACCCGCCTAGGCGTTGGCCGAGGCCGTCACCGTCCGTTAACCCCACATCAGCCGGACCGTAGAAGAAGCCCGAAAGCCGGACCCCAGTTTGACCCCATTTTTCTTTTGGCCCCGTCTGTTTCTGATTTTCTGAGTCTCAGACTCTGAGTCTGAGTCTGATGGGGGAGGGAATCAAGGGAATGCGAGGTTGGATCTCCAACTCCGCAGTCCGCATCCGCGTCCGCGGAGCCCCAAGTGCCCCGCGGACAATCAAATCAGTCCGCACCGCAAAAACACAAACATGACAGATTCAAGACAACAAAGACACCTCCTGACTGTTTTCGCTCTCAACAAGGATTCTTAACGCCATGAATAACCTTGTTGACCAGCTACTGAGATGACTGTCCGTCATTGATTGATCTTGCTCCTCTCATACAAATAATAGAGTTTGTTCAATGTTTGTAGATGTACAGTCCCACTCACTCACTGCCTTTTGCTACTGTAGCAATCAAATCAATGGCTGGTGATGATCTGTAATCATGATGATACAATCGTATGTTGGGTCACTCGCTTGCAGTCGC